GGTAAAAAGGGGATGGTAATTAGTGTTCAGTTGCCTATGAAAAATATATGCTTTATAAAGACAGTTTGATTTAAACAATGGAAGTTTAGCTCCCTACAATTGTTATTCTACTTCTTTAATTTTTGCATTAGACATTTTAAGCTTAGTTTTAAAATGCAGTTTTAGAGTGTTGTTAAGATTGCACTATTTAGAAAGTTTCTTTAATTCTGGTAGTAATTTCCCTGTTGGTTAATAAATGGGAAAAGTCTATATTAAATCTAAATAGTTTCTAGATTAGAAGGTGTTGGTGATATTGTTATTAATAAAAGTGTATATTAAATCTAAATGGTTTCTAGATTAGAAGGTGTTGGTGATATTGTTATTAATAAATTAGCTTCTCTTTATAGAAGAAAATGCTTCTCTTCATATTTGCCAGGTAATTTTATATTTCAAGAAATTTCTAATTACATGAATACAAGCTGAGGTAGTAACAGTAATTGAAGAATTGCCAAGAGGCCAAAAAGTGTTCATGAAATTTCATCAACTCATAGAGTTGTTAGAATTTTAATTTTGCAGACCTGTGTATCAGCTTGGCATTGAACAAAACCATTTCAACCAAAGATTTTTTAAAATGTTTTGTTGATTGCCTGTTATTATTCCATGTTCTGTTTTTTAAATGTATTTAATTTACTGAATGATTATAAAAATATTTTTATTGTTTAGATCATGATGCTGCCATTAACAGATACAGTCGGTTGTCAAAAAGAAGAGAGAATGAAAAGGTTTGTGTGATGCACACTTTTTAGTAGTCATTTTGGAGGACGTAAAGCCAGAATACATGTTCCAGAATGGATATAATGTCAACAGCTGCAAATATTACGTAACATAATAGATGCCTCTTAGAATCCAATAGTTTAGGTTCTAACAGCATAGACAATGGCTAAAATAGACAAAAGCTTTTTTTTTTCCATTGCAAGACTGGCATATAATTCTGGTGTTTTGGTGAGAGAGCGGGAGAGAGAGAACTTCTCAGTTTTGGGGAAAAAATACTGTTTCATTACCAGAAACACCCTTTCCCTGAATTCTGGAAAAGAAGTCACGGGACAAAAAAGTATCATTTCTCATAATATTTTAAAGATTACTGTGACTGTTGGCACTTGTTTTAAAACCTGTACAGAGAGCGCATGACACCTAGTCATGAACTTTGTTTTTTTTCCCGTTCCTCTCTTTAGGTCAAGTTTGAAGTTGTAGAAGATGTATATACTTCCAGGAAGAAACAGCATCAGACTATGATGCATTATTTCTGTGCATTAAATACTCTTCAGTACAAGAAGAAAATTTCTATGCTAGAACCTTTATTAGGCTACATGCAAGCTCAGGTGAATATTGCAGGCACTGAAAGCTGTGGATTTAAAATAAGGTGGAAGGGCACCAATTAAAAGTCTTCCCTCATTTAGGTACTGCCTAGAGCTGGAGGTGCACAAACTTACTAGGTGCCTCCCTGTTTACCTAGAATTCTGTTTCTGTCCATGCAAATAACTGCCCAGCTCAACACCTCTCCCCTCTGAAGCCTGATTGGTATCCAGAAACTGGGCATTGTGTAACTTAGGGCTGTCCAGCTGGCAGCTTGTGGGCCACCTGTGGCCACTGGGCTCCCAGTCTGGGTGCTGCATCTCCCCCTGCCCCAACTGCTCCAGCAGCTATTGCTGCTGTCTCGGGGTTCCAACACCCTCCTGATTTCACTGCCTGTCCCTGCTCCCGGGGGTGAGACAGGACTATTTACAGGGCCAAAGGTCCTGTGGCTGGTCT